AAAACATTTCTAATGGGTGCATATTATTATAAAGATCTATCATAGGCCATTTAATGAAAGCAGTTTTGTTGGCTATTTAAATCGTGTTGCAGTACCTTTGTGTTTTCTTTAAATATAAATTTTATGTATTTTAAGAAATATGCACATGACACAAAATTCAAAGGGAATAAAAGGGTTTATAGAGCAGAGGTCCTCAATCCTGGACAGGGCAGGGTTGAGGGAATGGTTTCAGGAGGAAACTGTTCCACCTCAGATCATGAGGCATTAGAATCTCATAAGGAGCCAGTAGCCTTGATCCCTCGCATGTGTAATTCACAATAGAGTTCACGGCCCTGTGAGAATCCAGTCCCGTCACTGATCTGATCTACAAAACTGGTCTGGTTCCAAAAGGTTGGAGACTGCTGGTTTAGAGAATCTTTGAAGCAAAGAACATTACTAGTTTATTCTTTTTTTTTTTTTTCATAAATAAGCAAATATATATACATATGTGTACACTTGTTCTTTTTCCACAGAAATGGTCATCTGCATCTTCTTTTCACTCAGTATATCTTAGCAATGACTCATATCAGTATGTAAAAACATCTTCATTAATTATAAAGCTACAGAATATTCTGATATATAGATATGCTATAACTTACTTAACCAGCCCAGTATTTGTAGACCTTTGAGTTAGAACACCTTGCTTTTTTGAGACAGAGTTTCACTGTTTTTGCCCAGGCTGGAGTGCAATGGCATGATCCTGGCTCACTGCAACCTGCGCCTCCTGGGTTCAAGTGATTCTCCTGCCTCAGCCTCCCATGTAGCTGGGATTACAGGTGTACACCGCCACGCCCGGCTAATTTTGTATTTTAATAGAGGTTTCATCATGTTGGCCAGTCTAGTCTTGAAATTGTGACCTCAGGTGATCTGCCCACCTTGGCCTCCCAAAATGCTGGGATTACGAGCATGAATTGAAACTGTATTTATGGAAAATTGCTCTTTGTTTTTAAAGTGATTTTTAAATTGTATTATTCCCCTACTCCTCTTGTTTAAGATAGGCTTTTGCCTTTTTTAGTGAGGGATGGGGTCAGACTGATGATTGCCACTGTCTTACAGGACACACAGACAGACACTTCACAGAAATGATGATCTCACGTATTCCAGGGATAAAAAGCATGGGGATAAGACATAGGAAGTGATATTTAAGTAATCCTGAGGTTGATGGTCCCAAGAGTGAAAATTTTGTTTAAAACGTGAAATGTAAGAACATAAAAGTGCATAAGGGAAGCAAATAATGTGTACACGTGGACATAAGAGTGTGGAATAATAGACATTGGAGAGTTGGAAAGGTAGGGGTATGAGGAATTACTTGATGTCAATGTGCACTATCCGGTGATGGTACATTAAAAACACAGACTTTACCACTACTCAGTATATCCATGTAACAAAACTGCACTTGCACCCACTAAATTTGTACAAATAAAATGCATAAGATGTAAAAGTTGTGCATAAGCGATCATAAAATGAACATCTGTGTGACCTCTATCCACATAAAGAAATAAAAACTTTGCCGACATCACCTTTTAACCTTTTGCAGCTCCTTCACGCCCCTAGTGGTAGCTGCTATCCTGACCATTATAGCATTGACTTTGATTCTCTTTGTAGTTTTATAATCTAATTATGTATTCATAAACAGGGTAGTAAAATTATGCTTGTTTTTGGAGCTTTTCCCCTAATGTTTTTAGATACCTGACATTTTGTAGCCCGAGGAGCAGTCTTGAAGAAGAGGAGTCAGAAAGGGTGTGTGAGAGGTGAATGGGCAAGGAATTCTACACAGGTTGGCCTAGTAAAGTTTGGGCACTTGAGATCTTTCTTGGACCAGGTGATGGAGTCTTATCTTCAGTGTTGCCAGGGCTCCGGAACTAGCTCTGAGTCTGGTTCCTTGAAGTGCTGCTTCTGAAGCACCTGTCTGCGTGATCAGGGATGATCCTGCTTGGAGTTCTCTTTATGCCTATTCTCTTTCTACTCTTGTTCTGCTGGGCATTTCTGGTTTTGTTTGTGTGTGTGAGAGTTCCTGTGGATTGCAAAAAACAAACAAAACCTAAAAACTAATGTCATGGTTTCTTCCTTTTTTCTTTTCTAATTTGTAAAATCTGTGGAGTTTAATCTTCGACATTATTTGTAGATACTTGTTCCTCTCCCCCATTTAGACACCTAGAAAGTTTGAACAAATCAAGGGCTTTTTTTTTTTCTGCAGGGTACCTTAGGTTTTCTAAAAACCAAACTAGAAAGTGCATTGTGGTAGAGATTGTGCCTGATTTGTAAAGAATGTTAAAATCAGGTTCTATAGAAAAAGACCATAGAAATAATTTCTAGTTCAGTTCCATCGTTCAGATACTTTCAAACTCCTATGATGCTATTGACATCACAACCTATTACACATGTACATATATGTAAAACAATTTATTCAGCTCCAATTTTTTTTTTTTAAATGTTCATTAGGGATCCATTAAATTAACTATAAGATCCTTCAAGAGGTCACTCCCTGCCTGTAGTCGAAGGTACCATGATTTTCTAGAGGAAGAGGTTGGCTGCAAGGAATTAAACCGAACAGAGGCCAACTAGTGTCATGGTGTGGCTCAGTTTGGAACCTTTAGATTGTATGCAGTAACTTATGTCTGTAATCCCAGCGTTTGTGAGGTTGAGGCAGGAGTATCACTTGAAGCCAGGAGTTTGAAACCAGCCTGGGCAACATAGTGAGATCTCATTTCTTAAAGATTGAGAGCATGGACTTTGGAGAATGACAGACTTGGACTCAAATCCTGGCTTTGCTACTTGCTGGTTATATGATCAGGGTAGTCCGTTTGGCATTCTTGGGTCTCAGTGTCATTTGACTAGGGCAATCTAGTTGGCATTCTTGGATCTTGGTCCTCTGTAAAATGGCATCTTAATCCATTTTGTGTTGCTATAAAAATGTCACAGGCACAGACTGCGTAATTTATAAAAGAAAAGAAATTTATCACAGTCTGGAAGCCAGGAAATCCAATATCAAGGTGCTAGTTCTGGCAGGGACCCTCTTGTTGCAGTTTCCCGTGACAGAAAGTGAAAGGGCAAGAAAGGGAGAGTGAGAGTGACTGAGAGAGCTGGACTCTTATTTTTCCCCAGAGATGAGCATCTTGCTATGTTGTCCAGGCTGGCTTTCAATTCCTGGTCACAAGTGATCCTCTCACCTCAGCCTCCTGAGTGGCTGGGAATACAGATACACACCTCTGCACCCCCGCCTGGACTCAGCCCACTCTTGTGTTGTAATAATAAACCCATTCCTGTGTAATGGACATTAATCTATTCATGAGGGCAGAGCCCTTGTGGCTTAATTACCTTTTAATGGTTCCATCTCTTAATATAGTCACAATGACAATTAAGTTTCAACATGAGTTTTGGAGGGAACATTCAAACCATAGCAAATGGGAATGACAGTGCCTCAGAGACATGAGGATTAAATGAAAGAATATCTGATGTAAAGTAAGCATTCAACACACAGCAGCTGTTATTAACCATTGTTATTTGTTTGAGGATTTAATGGAGTTTCTCTGATTTCTAGCCCAATGCTCTTTGTACAAATTGCAGAATCTATTACGACAAGAGTTAGGGGTAACAGACTAGGTGGATGGGAATTGCTTAGTCAATTCACTCACCCTTTGCGATCAGTTTAGGTGATTACTGGACTCTGTGTCCATAAACTCTGCTGGTTTATTACAGGAGTGAGAATTGCCTAAAAGTTTCAGGCAATCACAATGCCTTCAGTGGCAGAAGAGTTAGTCTTTCTGTCCTTGTTCATGGACAGGAAGTTAAAACTAAGGGGTGTGTGTGTGTGTGTGTGTGTGTAAGATTAGCTGAGGGGATGGTTAGAGGATTCTCCTCTGTCTGACTCTTCACTCCTCCTCCCATAATCTTACATTTAAAATCTATTCTTTCTTCCTTTCCCTTTCTTTTCTCCCATCCCCCTCTCTTTCTCTTTTAAAGAATGACCAGCTTTTGCCCAGGTGTGGTGGCCCATGACTGTAATCCTAGCACTTTGGGAGGCTAAAGTGGGAGGATTGCTTGAGGCCAGGAGTTCAAGACCAACCTGGTCAATATAATGAAACCCCATCTCTACAAAAATGAAGAAATTAGCTGGGTGTGGTGGTGCACACCTGTAATCCCAGCTACTTGGGAGGCTGAAGCAGGAGACTCCTTTGAGGGCAGGAGTTCCAGGTTACAGTGAGCTGTGATCATGCCACTGTACTCCAGTTCGGGCAACAAAGTGAGACCCTGTCTCTTAAAAATAAATAAATATTTAATATAAAATTTATGTAAAATCCAGTCATTAAGTAAAAAACATTTGTTAACATTTGGCCTTTTTTTTTTTTTTTCAGTCTTTTCTCATGCATTATAAAAAGGTGGCAGTAATACTGAACATTCAAACACCCTTTTACTGAAATAAAAAACAACTAGTTAGTTAGGTATAAATCAGTAAGATGGTAGAGGAAGGGAAAAGGGAGGGACACTTTGCTGAAAGGCAGAGATAGTGATCTCCTACTCTCTCTGAGACTGACAGGTGGTCCTTAATTTAATCTTTCTTTCCAGGCATTCTGGAGCAGGGAAGAATTTGACTTTAAAACTGTTCCCTACTTTCTGTTCTGTTATTTGTCATGCCCTCCTGAGTTCAGAAGAATAGGTCTTGAGTTTTATGCTACCAAAATTAATATCTCATTAGATTGCTGGTAGAGCTGCGATTTTTTTGTGCAATGTGAAAGCTGAATTGTTTAAGTTCTACTAAATGTATATGTAGCAGTCAGTGCTTTTCAACTGCCTTAGTTCCTCAACCCATGAACCTACCCAGTCCTTTAGGAAAGCCAGGTGTAACGTAGGAAGTAACCTGTGTACCACAGTACCTGCATCAGGCGTGTGCTCTGGAAATGTCGACCTGACATGAGGCCAGTCTGTCTTCTCTTTTCTTCACAGACTTTTTTTCTTCACAGATTTTGAAGCTAGCTTCATAAGGCTGTTGGACAAAATAACGAATGGTTCTCGAATTGAAATAAACCAAACAGGTAAGCTCCTTTTCTATTCCTGAAAGCATCTACATGTGCTAAAGCATTCCTGTTTCTCACTCTTTTTTTCTTTTCTTTTTTTTCCTAGTCAGTCTCTGCTTATCCATAATGGTATAAAGATTGTGTTTAAAACTTACTAATCACTTTGTGTTATATCAATCACCATTAAATTGAAATTTTGGAGGGACTTATATGAGGAGCTCATCATATAACTTTGGAGTTACATGATGAAGCTGTGAATATAGATTATAATAAAAGCATATTATTCTAGATAATTTTAAAAAATACTGTGTTCAGATGGAAAGACCCAGTTTACCTGTCTGTGATATGATTTTCCAGAGATGTACATGAAGTCTCCCAATTTCAGGAGCATACATTTGATTTAAGGACGTTAGAAAACTGAAAATTTCAGATCCAATAAGCAATTGTCTCCTCTTTTATTTTATACGTAATATTTACATTAAACTTTCCAAAGTTCATTTACTTATATTTTTACATTAAATTATTTCAGCCAACTCTGTGAGGTAATTTATGTGCTGAATTCTATTTTATTTTAAAATTTTGTTTGTGAAAATAAATTTACACAAGTTTATGCAAAATATGTGACTGTCCCTTCACCTCTTTCCTCTTCCATTCCTACTCCAGGGGTAGCCGCTGTCACATGGACATTTGCATAATTCAGACCATCAACAGGGTCATGCTTGTCTTACTGTTTTTCAGCCAGCATTTTTTTTTTTCTAGCACAAATGTCTCAGAGAACTTTCCCTGCCAGCACATGCAAGCCTTCCTCAATATTTCTGTGGGTTGTAGTATAGTATTCCAGTGTATGGATGCATAATAATTTATTTAACTGCTCCCCATTGATAAACATTTAGGTTGCTTCTAGCTTTTATTTTTTCTATTAGAAATTTGTGTCTACATTGTGTGAAAGACTGTGGCAAACATCCTTTGGCTGACTCCATTAACACTCTACCTTTTCACACACATTCCACAAAGGAATCTCTGACCTTTTCCCTACCTTGGCTCTCTTAAGGCAAGAGACCTGAGATGTCCTGGTCTATAGCTGCATTCAGCCATACCTTATGAAGAACAGGTTTCAGGAATGAGGTATTCACATGTCTTTTGCCAGCTATGTGTCCCTTAATTTCCTTTAGCTTGTTTGCTTTGAAATTGCTGGAGGTTTTTTCAGTAACTTTTATAGGTGATCCAGAAGACAGATATTTCTATTCTTCTCTCTCTCTCTCTGTGTTTGTGTGTGTGTGTGTGTGTGTGTGTGTGTGTGTGTGTGTTTGATAGAGTCTTGCTCTGTCACCCAGGCTAGAGTGTAGTGGTATGATCTTGGCTCATTGCAACTTCTGTCTCCTAGATTCAAGAGATCTACTGCCTCAGCCTCCTCAGTAGCTGGGATTACAGGTGTCTGCCAGCATGCCTGGCTAATTTTTTTTTTTTTTTGTACAGATGAGATTTCGTCATGTTGGCCAGGCTGGTCTCGAACCCCTGATGTCAGGTGATCCACCCACCTTGGCCTTCCTAAGTGCTGGAATTACAAGCATGAGCCACCGCACTCGGCCCAATTCTATGGTTTTTTTAGTCATATCTTCAGTATAGGTTGAGGTATAAGACGTTTACTGATTCTGCTCCCACTCCACATCCTTTTAATTTTCCCCATTGGAGTAGTAAAAGCCTTCATTCGGATGATCTGGTCAGTTTCTCATTTGGCTAATTTGTATAAATAAACGTATGGATTTGAAAGATTTAGTGAATATATAATATAGTCTTTTTTGGCTTTTTTTTTTTTTTTTTNTCTATCTGTCACCAGGCCGAAGTGCAGTGGCACAATCTTGGCTCACTGCAATCTCCACCTCCTGTGTTCAAGCGATTCTCCTGCCTCAGCCTCCCGAGTAGCTGGGATTACAGGTGCTCACCACCACACCCAGCTAATTTTTTTTTGTATTTTTAGTAGAGACAGGATTTCACCATGTTGGCCAGGATAGTCTTGATCTCCTGACCTTGTGATCTGCCTGCTTCCTCCTCCCAAAGTGCCGGGGTTACAGGCATGAACCACTGTGCCTGGCCCTTTTTTTGCTTTTTGATCTAAAGGATGGTTTTGTGACCCTTACAACTATTTAGAATAGCTGACCTAGGATCCATTTGAGAAGGGTTTACTACTTTAATCAGAATATGATCCTGATTTCATGATTGTTTGGATTTTAGTGTTTAATATGGTAAAACCTAAATTTATTTTATGGAAGTCCCAAGAACTTTTTTCCATTTGAGTGACTGAGCATTTCTCCTTCCTCTAATGTTACATTTATTTTTGGTAAATTGTACCAGAGGGCATTGCAGAAGATTTTGTGCAGCAGAAATACCTTGTTCAACCATTTATGTCCCCTTAAATCATTTACAGTTTTTTACATTCATGTGTAAATCTAGTAAGAAGCTTTTTGGATAGTTGGGCATGGTGGCTTATGCCTATAATCCAGCACTTTGGGAGGCTGAGGTGGGAGGATCACTTGAGTCTTGGAGTTCAAGACTAGCCTGGGCAACTGGTGAAACCATTTCTCCATCAATAAATAAATAAAAAGGCTGAGTGTCGTGGCATATGCCTGTGGTTCCTGCACTTTGGGAGGCTGAGCTGGGAGGATCACTTGAGCCCAAGAATTCAAGACTATACTGGACAACATAGTGAGACCCTTTCTCTAAAAAAAATAAAAATTAGCTGGGCATGGTGGCACATGCCTGTGGTCCCAGCTATTCTGGAAGCTGAGGTGGGAGGATTGCTTGGGTTCTGGAGGTCGAGCTGCAGCAAGCCGTGATCATGCCACTGTACTCCAGCTTGGGTAACAGAGCAAGATCCTGTCTCCAAAAAAGCTTTTTGAATGGTATGAATATGTGAAAAGCGAATAAAGATAGTGGTTTCCACTAAAGCCGTAAAATACTATTAGACATTTTCATTTATCAGTATTAAATTAAAAGAGCTACTATTAATGGCATTGAATGCCATAAAGTACTTGCCTTTTCTTGACATCATGTTTGGTGAGTGAGGTATATGGGCTCTATATATATATGGGCAACCTAGAGGATGCTGGTTGCTGGTGTGATGATTTAATTACATCATTTGTAATTCCCCTCTCTGATAAGCCTAGTCTGAGATTGTGCTGTTGGGAGACTAGGGTGCTTATTAGGATCTCTCCTCTGTGCCCTGCCATGACTTTGGCAACTCAGATGGCTTAGGGAGGGGTTTGATTTATTACTGATTATTAAATTACATTCACAGTTTATTATTGTTACAGGGGCTTGACAGCAGTGAGTCAGCTTTTGGAGTGAAGTGTGTGCTCATAGTGATGGCATTTCAAGTATTCTTGGATGTCCTTGCCGGACTTTCCCCTTGGAACTCACTGCCTTCATTACCTTTGTGACATTTTAGTTTTTTTCCTGCTGAATGTGGCTCTTTTTCTTCTGGTTTAAGGAACAACCTTATATTATCAGCCTGGCCTCCTGTATGGTGGATCTGTGGAACATGACTGTAGCGTCCTTCGTGGCATTGGCTATTACCTGGAGAGTCTTCTTTGCTTGGCACCATTTATGAAGCACCCATTAAAGATAGTTCTACGAGGAGTGACCAATGATCAGGTTGACCCTTCAGTGAGTATTGAGAACAAGCCAGGGGTTTGTTTTTGTTTTGTCTCTTGTTACAACCCAGCTTGTGAGAAAAATGTTCCTTATAAAGCTCAGTTTTATTTCAAATGTATATTTCTTTTGTTATTTACCTTGAGATTTGGAGGTTAATCACTCCAGGAGGCAGATGAACCAAAACATGGGATCATCAAATTCAGGACGATTGTTAACAGTTATCAAGGTGCCTTTCATTGTTATCTAAGGACCTTCAAAACAGATGCTCTCAGTCTTATCATGGCTGACATAAACTATAGCTCTGTTGGCTCTAGTATGTGACAGTGGAGTTTTCTAAGGTCATGTGGTAGCTGAGACTGGAGGGCAGCTGACCAAAATTTTGGACAGGAGATTATATCTCCTTGGCATTGCCACAGCATAATCTTGACTTACTCAGGTTTCAACATAAACTCAAGGTCTTTTGTCTTCTGAGAATAGTCTGCAGATTTAGAAAAAGGGCATAAATTCGGGAAAGGAATGTGTGAGCTTTGGTAGTTTGTCGGTATCAGCAAGCTTTTTATTTTTATTATTTTCACCAAGGGCCATGCCAGAGCAAGCTTTTTATTAAACATGCTAATTTTTCTGCAGGTATGGGGAGAATGATTTCATATCAAGCAAAACTTTTCATTGTGATCACAACTGTCTTAGTGCCATTCTAGGATGGAGAGAGAGAGAGAGAGAGAGAGAGAGAGAAAGAGAGAGAGAAAGAGAGAGAGAGAGAGAGAGAGATTAGAGAAGTCCTGTCCAGGACCCCCTCCCTTGTAGGGAGGGATGGATGCTTTTGGATGCTCTGCTGTTCAGAGACAATGCCTTTAAGCTGATGGCCATGATGAAAAGTCCTGATTGAGGTGGTATGCTTGCCTTTACCATTACAGATATAGGCCAAGACCAGTGAATGGGTAGCTTCTGAGGCAGAATGTGAATTATGTAGCTTTTCTACTCAGGGAGGACCAATGAAGTATTGCTATGATCCCCAAAGTAGAGACCGCTGCTATTCATCAAGATACCTACGAGGGTATAAGTGTTAATATGTTCTTAGGCAATGCAAACTTATTCTTCAATTCTTGGAAATTCAGCTGCAAAAACTCGTTTCCCTGGAATACTGAGTATAGTACAAGATCTGAAATTCTTAAGCGATAAAGGAATGTTGCCTAAGCTGTTTAGAATATTTCATTAAGTGTTTTTTTTTTCTTTTTAAATTCTCTAGAATACTATAGGAAATGAGTTCTTTGGATAAAAGTGCGAGAAGAGTCATAAATACATTTAGGTTGTAAGAGGGATATGTGCCTCAAAAGTGGGAAAAGGCCCTGAAGTATACAGCAGTGTGTGTATCAGTTTTGTACTTTTTTTTCTATACTTGCTAATTATCTTACAAGCTTTTCTCACTGGCGATATTTAAAAATGTTATATGGTAACAGACAAAGGTCAATTGATGAATTTCTCAGAAATGGTACCCAAAAATCTGTTTTTATCTGCTGTAGGACTAACTGCTTTTGCCAGCTGCGTAACTGAAATGACCTTGGTTGGTATCTGGCTCCAGGCCAGGATAAAATAAATATACTAAATTCTGAATAAAGAGTGACTTCTTCAGCTCATCCCATGGCTCCTTCATTTCTATCTGCTTCTTTTCTGTGTGGTTTTCTCATTAGTTCATGTCTGCATCTACTCTGCATACAAGGATAAAATGAGTAATTCTGTCCTTAACAAACTCCTAGTCTCATGGGGTAGACAGCTGGAAACCCATTTATGGAGATTACATGGATGAATACCCTTAGGCTCTGACAGAGGTAGAAACAAAGTGCCGAGTGACAGAGAGGGTTTCTAGAGGAGAGAAAATCAGAGTCAGTCTGGGTTTTTGGAAGGTAATTCTGGAGGTTGAGTGACAGATGAATGGAGAAGTGCTAGACTAGCTTGGGCATTATTGAGATAGAGGGAGAAAGGAAAGGGCAGATATGGCAACTGATTGGAGGCAGAGTGAGAGGAAGGGGTCATAGATGACTCCATGATTTCTGTCCTGGTTGCCGTAAAGGATAATGATCATAAAGATTGTTCCCATTTGACAAAGGGAAGAGGAAAATTGCAGTAGGATAATGACTTAAGATTTTGGTCCTGTTACCTGGGATGTTGGCAGCCTAACCATATAAGGATTTCCAGTTGACAGTTTGAAATTATTGTCAAACTGGAGCCTCGGAGACAGGTCATCAGAATGTTACCTACTGATACTTAAGCCTCTAGGAGTATGAGATTGATCAGGGTGAGGTTGAACACTGGTGGGTTTGGCTGAATTTATCTTTCACATGTTTTTTTTTTTTTTGACATGTACAGTGTGGTGGTGGTGGTGGTTGTCGTTGTTGGTGTGCTTATGTATCTGAATTGGTTGTTCATGTTCGAAACTCCAGATTTTACATTATGATAGGGCAGTGTGACAATACTGAGTGGTGGTTCCTTCATGACAGCCATCAGTTGGAGGTGAGTAACAGCTGCCTTTTTTGGATAAGGCGTGAGCTCTCCAGCTGGACCCAGGTCACCACTGACCTCATTATTCCTTTAAGCTTCCTTTCTGCTCTCTATGGGCATTAGAGTTTCTGCCCCATGGTCCAAAGGACTAAGAATGGAAGAAGGAGAAATGAGCGTTTAAGGCGTGAGTAGGAGAAGAGGAGCTAGAGACAGAGTGACTGTGGAGATAGAAGTGTTTGGAGAAGCCAAGCAGGAATCAAGTTTTAAGAAGCAGGGATAATCTACACACAGTCACTCTTTGCAGGAGTTGAGTCAGATTCAGCAGTGAGACATTTCTTTGACCTTTGAAAGAACAATGTCATTGGAGTGTAAGGACAGGAAGAGACTGAGGAACGAGTAGGAACTAGTGGTATTGGAAAGTGAGGAGATTGTTTCAAAAGTTTTTAAGAGCTGAGGTTGGGAATTTTTTTTAGACTAGGGGAAACTTGAGTTTGCTTGTAGGCTGAGGAGAAGCTGTAATGGAAAAGAAAAGAATTAAATGAGCTGAGGGTCCTTGGTGAAGTCCAGAGGGGATAAGGATTGAAAACAGAGGTGATGGAATAAGCCTTGTGAAGAAGAAGAAGACATTTTTTCTTTAGAGGCAAGAGAATAGAAAGTGGGGAGAAATTAGGAGAAAAGTTCTAGGAGGTCTCCTGAATGTTAGTGGTGTGCCACCAGAGCTCCCAGTATATATTTATTGGTGCCAACAAGCTACTCCAATGGTGGGTGAAAATTCCATGCTTTTTTAGTTCCCTCTTAGAGAGGGAAAAGAGGTACACTAATATCTACCAAGTACTGGGCATTGTTCTAGGTATACATATGTATGTATGTATGTGTGTATCCATATTTGTTTAATTCTTCTACCAACCCAGTGAGGTGGGTGTTTCAGACAAGGTAACTGGAGAGCAGGCTTCTTCCTCCCTTTTTAAACATAGACTAATTACATTTTTACCTTTGGATTGATTGGCTACACTGTAATGGTAATGCCTTTGCCCTAAGGTGCCACTTAGGTGAGATTTTTGCCTTTTCTCTCTGACTGCAGAGTGGACTGATCAGTTTCCCTTAAGCAGAACTTGCAGGCCACCATCACTCTGCTAAAACTAGAATGTGCAAAGCTGCAGGAGACTGTAGAGTGTTCAACCCAGCCTCTCCTTTTACACAGGAGGAAACCAAGGCCCAGGAGACAGGAAAGCATCCAGGGTCTCACAGCCAGTGAGAGGAAGAGTAGGTCCCAAGCTCCCATCTGCTTTTCCAGCCTTGTCTCACTGCACCTAGTTGCCTGTCCTCCATGTCAGATGGAGGGTGTTAAGGGGACAGGACTACACCTGGAATTACTTCTGGGCTTCTGGCTGAACTAAGTAAATTTGGCTTTATCCTTTGTGACTCAAGGTATAGGAAAAATGAGGCAGAAGGAATGTTGTATTTTTTCACCTTTCTTTTCCTCAGGAGAGCTGGTGGCTGGCTACCCAGAGTAATTGCAGCATTGCCTCCCGTACTTTTTTAGAATCTGACTTGGCTTTCTCCCCAGTTGCCCTTAAGCCTAGATTGCACTTTTCTTCATCTGGCAATCCCAAATGCATATATTAAATTTTTGAGTGTGCTTAGCTTTATTTTTTTATTTTGAGAGAGAGGGTCTCACTCTCTTTCCCAGGCTGGAGTGCAGTGGCATGATTGATCATAGCCCACTGAAGCCTCAAACTCCTGGGCTCAAGCCATCCTCCCATGTCAGCCTCTCAAGTAGCTAGGACCGGAGGTGTGTACCACTACGCCCAGCTAATTTTTTTAGTAGAGATGAGGTCTCACTATGTTGCTCAGGCTGTAACTTTAATATTTAATTAAAGTTAGCTAATCTTTAATGGCTTTCCTAGTTTCCCCTGCCCCACCTGATCCATTCTAAGCATGTTCTTAGACCTCACAGGTCATTCCTACCTCTGGTAATTTTCTGATATCACAATATTTAGTTGGGTCTTCTTAGCCTGTTAGAGTTGGTTGCACCTTGGAGATAGCTGGGTTTGAGCCCCTTCCCTTAGAGATAAGGAAATTCAGATAGTTTTGATTTTCTTGTCTGAGGCCACATAGCTAATTAGAAGCAGAGCTGGGACTAGGACTAGGGCTTTTCCTACACCCTCTGTGTGGTGCCCGCCCTCCAAGCCAACTGGCAGGTCCAAGAAGGGAACAAGTAAGGGAGTAATTTCCTTTCCCATGTAGCAGTTGAGGCAACATTTGCTGACTCGTTAGATAACAGCACATGATTTGAATGTCATCTTTATACTCTTATCAGGAATCCACAAATGGATCAGAAAGACCCCAGACTTCCTAGGAGTCTGAGTGCAGAAGGAGATAACAGTAACACGTGGCAAACTCTTGCCATTAACCATGGATGTCGTCGTAATTGCAGTTTTGAGTTTGTGTTGCTTCTTGTAGTTTGAGGCTATCATCACCCCCACTCCCCAGCTCCCATGTAAAATCATCACCTTCCCTTTAGCTGCCTGTGTGGTGCTCATCATTGGTACTCTTAGGTGAGCTGTTCAATAGTTCATTTTGGAGTGCTACCGGCTCTAAACATTAGATAACCATACTGGACAAATGCTAATGAAAAAGGCGGTTTTCTTCTGTAGTGTTTATACCTACAAGAATGAGTAGGTTTCTCCATTTGTTTTGTACAAGAGTCTGTCTCTCCATGCTTTTTGCATGATGCCTCTGATGCTCACGATGACTGTAAGGTAGGTGTAGGTCTCCATGCCATACATGAGGAAAGTGGGGCTGAGAGCAGCTCAGTGGCCTGTGAAATCGCAGTCTTCCTCAGGCACAGCCAGCCTACTCGCTCAGTTCTAAGCCAGCATCCTTTCTGTTTACCGCACTGCGTCATCTACCTGGTTGCTAAGCCTCACTTGTTTCTTTGACTCTTTTTCTTAAACTTTTTTTTTTTTCTAAAATAATTTCATAGGTTGATGTTCTTAAGGCAACAGCACTCCCTTTGTTGAAACAGTTTGGGATTGATGGTGAATCATTTGAACTGAAGGTAAGAATGTATGAACTGTTGGCCTTATGTTTCTGTGGAAAACATTTTTCCACTGACTCATTGGAAGAGCTGTGTGACTCAGTGTATGTGTGTCACTTTTGAAGTCACCATTTATCAGAAGACTCAGAGGGTTCATGAAGTAAACATTACAGACTTTGAACTGAAAGAGACCCTTTAGTGATAACAATAGTAGCCAATAGTTATGTTGCACTTATTTTGCGATGGGGGCCGTTCTAAGCAGTTTACAAATACTAACCCCTTTTTTTCTCATGACAGCTCCGCCCATGTCCCTCAGCTAATAAGCAGTGGAGAACAGATTTGGGCCATATTGGCTCTCTGATCTAAATGATCTGGATATAATTTATGTTCAAGGGCTCCCAACCTGAATGTCCCTGAGAATATTCAGTATTTCCAGAATTTAGTAGAAGTAGTCTAAGCATCTGTATGTTATTGAATTAATATCATTACAGTGAGGTAAACTGTTCAGCATCTCTGCCTTTTACATTCATGTTTTAAACAGGGGAAATTACTTCATTTTTATTTAATAATGTTTTGATAGATCAGTTATTTGCGTGGAAGGAGAAAAAGGGGTTTCTGATTATTAAGAAATGGGCTCAGATGATGGACTAGGTCACCTCCACATTTTAAGGATAAAGAAGTGACCTCCTCAGGATTATAGAGATGAATGGCAGAGCCACTTTGGTAGTCAACTTGGACTTTGACATACGCTGAGCATGTACTCTCTAGGAGCCAACATAAATTGCTGTTGGTCTTAAAGGGACTGACAGATTGAATATGCAAGAGCTGTGCCTTGTAAGGAAGCATCTGCTGGTATAAACCTTCCTGGGTGGGGTGTCAGGGTAATCCGTTGCTTTGCTGCATCCTTGCCTCATCTTTCTCACTCTCTGTGCAGATTGTGCGACGGGGAATGCCTCCTGGAGGAGGAGGCGAAGTGGTTTTCTCATGTCCTGTAAGGAAGGTCTTGAAGCCCATTCAACTCACAGATCCAGGAAAAATCAAACGTATCAGAGGAATGGCGTATCCTTTCCATTTATTTGGATTTCTTATTTTTTTTTCTTGCCTCACTAAGATAAGGATGACTAACAGCTTTTCTTCTTCCTGAGGTTATTTACATTTTAGACTACAACTTTGAAAAGGCTTAACGGTGAAAACATAATTGTTGGCTGAGTGAGGATGTTCTGTTATCTGCCTCACCATGACTAGATTGATTGAGTCATTTTTTTTTCCGGTTAACATTTAGGCAAATGGCTCTGTTATATGTGATCCTCTCTGAATGACTTTGGTTTGGAGGCCATGAATATACTGCAGTTCCTCCCTTAGAAGAGGTCATTGTCATTTGGTGAAGGAACCAAATATGAAAACACACAGTTCTGATATAACATGCAAAATGATATGTGCAGTGGGTGGAGGGCCCAGAGTAGACAGTGGTCAATTTTGGTCTGGAGGACCTAGGGAGGCTGGAATAATACTAATGAACAATATTTACTATTAAGTACTTACTCTGCGTCTACTTCAGTAATCAACTTTACACGCTTTTAAGCCTCAGATTGACTCTCGAGTTTACTTACATCCTTTTTTGCAGATGGGGAAACCAAGGCTTCAAAAGCTTAAGGAATTTGTTAATGATGTCACACTGCTAATAAGCAGAGCTGAGATTTGAACCTTGTCTGTCTGACTCTGAAGTCCAGGCGTTTAATCTCTTCTTTTTACAATAGAAAGGAGCCTTGAAGAACAGAGGATTGCAAAGTAGAGCAAGAAAGGAGGAGTGCTTCAGGCAGAAAAATGGGCCTGAGCAGGGTGGCAGCGCACAGTGGTTCAGGGAAGTGGCAAGTAATGAGATGTGGCAGGATTTCAGGATAGTCCATGGCATTTGATGGTAGAATTGGGCATGAAGACAGGCAGGAGCCAGTGAAGAGCTGAAGGTGGCTGGAATCACTTACTAAGTAGAATGTAAAGACAAAAGGGTGAAGAGGCCTCCAAAACTTGAAAGCAGGAGTTAAGTAAGGAGGGAAGTAAGAGTGGGGAGGAAAATAAACAAAACATACCTCCTGGAAGCCCTGGTCAGCACCTTAAAAGGCCCTTAGGGGTCAGCATTGGGGTGAGGAAAAGCTGAGGGACTCAGCAGCAGGCTGCTATGATGCCCTGGGGAAGAGTGCTGGAGCCCGAGAGCCCGAGGGACTAATTCTGGGTTGTGGAGTGAAGGGGAGGGAAACGGCACCTTTTGGGGACCACTCTTTCCAGAATCTTGACAGGAAAGAGAAGGAGAAGGAAGGATGAGGCAGTAACTTGATGAAGCGAGATTAGGTGATACTTTCCTCCCTTTTACAAAAAGGTTGGTAAGGATTTGAGTGTTTATAGGTTTTTTTATGTAGGTGAAGCAAGGTAATGAGCTGATCAAAAGCCCAGGTGCTGGAGTCAGAAAGACGTGAGTGCTGACCACTCAGCAGTGGAAGCATTTTGGCCCTAAGCCTTGGCTGCCTGTATAGCTTTGGTCCTGTTATAACTGCTGCGAGGGACTGTCACGAAGGGTAAAATGAAATCGTAGTTGCACAGTAGGATGCACTGGTGTGTAAGTAGCATTGGGTGAATGGTTGCCATTGTTCTTTTTATTCTTACTTGAGAGGGGGATGGATTCAAGTCCACAGGCATATGGTAAGGGTGGCTCCAGGTAGAGCTGTGTGGAGGTGAGTGGAAGGGAGTTGGGGTGAGTTTTCAGTGGTTACCAAGTTAGGATAGGATTGAGGGTAGGGGGATGGGCAGGGTAGGATAAGGGAGTGTGACAAGGATGGTAAAGATGTGCTGTCACAGTGGGGCATCATAACTGATGATAAGAAAGGCTGTGGAACAGCAGTGAGGTCTCGGCTGAATGTAAGAAAAAGGCTGTGGAACAGCAGTAAGGTCTTGGCTGAAGGGCCACTTGTGAGGTCCCATGCGACCATGTCCAGTGGCAGTTGGCAGCCTAGAGGGAGGAGTAGAGAACATAGGAGGACCAATTTCATCCAAGGATGGATGCAGGTTGGCAAGGTGTGTGGGTCCTACAGGAGGACAGGTAAAGGGTGGGTGCTGGAGCATCAGCAAGTACATTCCTCACTGAGGATTGTCTCAGGGGCTCACCAGCCTGGAGAAAGCAGGTCAAGGGACTAGAAACTTTAACAAGTTTAAAGATCAAGTCTAGTGGAAATAGATATTTGTACTATGTAGGAGAAGAGATTGTGTTTAGGGAATGTTGTTTTGGGATTTCAGATATTAAAAGTGGTATAATTCTAGGTGCCGACAAGATCTGGGTGGGGACATTGTTGGAGGCCATGGAGCTAGATGGGCTATCGGGATGACTTTCCTGGTTGAAAGGTGACAAGGAAGGGTCGACTAGAAAGCCTGCTTCTCAGGGTTGGGGTAGATGCCTAAGGTTAGGTTTTGTATTTCTCAGGAGGTTTGGGGATGCTTTTACTTGGAGGAAGAGAGGTGTGACCTGGACTGTCTTTTCAGAGGCCTCAAATAGCTTGAACAGTAAGTGATGAAGGGCAGGGAGTAGGGTGGGCTGTAGGGCCATGGGTAGAGAGAGTGCTAGTTAAGATAGAAGATCTCACTTGGGTTGTTGCCTGAAGTTCTTTTTAAAGATCATCAAAAGCACAGGAATACATAATAACAAAGCCTTCTTGGATTATGGTCTGTCTCTACATGGCTGTCCCCCAGACCATGTAAGCACCAAGCTTTGTGTATACCAGGAGAGAGTGGGCAAAAGGAGAAATTGTTCCTTTTTTTAGGAGCCCCCAGCTTGATGTATAGTTAAATTGCCCTGGCGACTTCCTAAGGTGATGTTCAACTCTAATATGCTCCAAATCAGAGGAGCTGGAATAATGTTAATGAGGTTACAAAGAAATGGAAATGCAGTGTAACTAGGTGTGTGTTTTTAAAGCCAAATGTGCCTTTTCTACTTGAACTCATTCTCATTAACAGGTGCATTGTATTCCACCATATATAGAGCCTGAAATCAAACGCTGTTGATGGCCATTGAATTGTCTTTTGCTTTTCACCATTGCCAAAAATATTGAAGTTAAAGACATTAACCATGAAATAAAGTGTAATAAGTGTATAGGAATACGCTTTCCAATACACTCCAATAAGTGCATAGGAATACACTTTCAGGGGTATTTCAGGTTTGTCTGGAGGGGGTGGTTGTTTTTTTCCTCCTTACTTGAGATGTGTTTCCTTAATTCTGTATTGGTGGCAGTGAACTTTATTTGGAATTCAGTCTCTGTAGTCTGGAAATGTGATATCTGGCAGTGTGCTCTGTTTTGACACAGTCTTGTCCTAACAACATGGGTTTCATCACAGTGGGGTCCCCCCTGTTCTCTCTGGGTATGCAAATGGCTCGTGTCCTTTGATGATCTTGCCGGGAAATGAGGAAGGGTTTTACAGGGGAGAACATAAAAGCTAAAAGAGCTGTGGTGCCCGAGCACCTTGGGTGTAACTTTGTTCCTCCCTGGCTTCTCCCTCTAATGTTCTTGGAACTGTCCCTATGTAGAACCTGATCCAGGAAGGCACTTGTGAGGTCCCAAGTTCCTCCCTCTCTGGAGGCAGGGGATAGGACACAGAAATCATCCCCAGTATATCTCTGACTGGTAGAGGCTTCCTCCCAGCTCCCCAGCAGAGTTGACATAGTGCCCTTGCTCAGATCCCTGCCTGTAAACCAAACATTTTGGCCACTGGTCTGCAGAGCTGCCCATTTCACAAATACCTCAAAGGAATGTGGGTTTGAATGGAGATCGTCTTCTTGGCCAGTTTTGCAGCCTGGGAAAAAAGACCTGCCTTTGGAAAAGGCCTTGAGTTGGTTTTGTGGTTTTTTTCCTTGCAAGGCTGATTGACTGCTGGACTAACTTTGGAGGTTGTATTTCCCATAAGAGGGCTCGAACTGGGAGAACTGGCCTCACTCTCTTGTGTGCATTTGTGGTTTTAACTGAGTTACTTCCAAAGTGCATCTTTTCCCTCCTGCATTCTGCATGATGACCTACCAGCCAGGGCCCAGAGGGAGCCAGTGTTGGTTTCTGCCAGTAGCTGTGACTAGACAGTAGTTACTTTTTATTTAATGCCACCCACATTGAGTCTCACCCCTGCCTGATGTGAGGCTTAAGAGAAAGGAACATTCTGTTTTAGTTTTGCAGTGCTGTCCTAGGAGCTCACGATTTGGTACATGAGAATTAAGTGAAAACACTGGCAGTAAAGGGGGTAAGTTGGAATCCGTGGGATAATCTAGTTTCTTTTCCTTGACTATAGGGATGGTACTTTGAGAATCAAGCTATTTTTCTCTATCTCCACCTACTGTAACACACACATACACGTGCATGTGTGCACGCACACCCTCTTAGCTTTCTCTGATATGGAACATTGTGGGAGGGTAAGAGTGGGAGTCCCATATGGACTGTAGCTATGGACTTGTACACTGGTATTGGTTCTTACTATGGTTTTCATAAATAGGCTTTAGGAGGTTCATAAACCTGAAAATTTTTCTGCAAGAGTGTGAGTATATATATGTGTCTCAGGAGGGGGTCCATAGCTTTCATCAGATTCTCAGAGAGTTCTCTGATTCCTAAAAGAATAAGAACCTCTGCTTGGGATTTGAATCTTGGATGATTAATAAGAAAAGCAATAGCTGACATTTGCTGGGCCCCTGCTACACACCAGGCATTAAGAGCTTCACATGCATTTTATTTCATTTGTGTCTCTAAACTCTGCAAGGAAAATATAATTATCCTTCTTTTACTGATTAGGAAATGATGGCACAGAGAAGTTAGCACAATTGACCTGGAATGATGCAACCTGCTGGAGCTGGGACTTGAACGGAGATAAACTAATTCTAGAACTCGGGGGCTGTTAGCCATTCCTTGGTAGGATATCCATGCCAAGCCAGCTGGTTCTAAGCAACTCGATGTATCTGGTTTTAAAGTTCTTTGCCTTCTTCATTTCATTGCTTGAGTTCTAATATAAGGTTCTGTTATCCCTGAATTTGTACTGTTAAGTGACCCGTTGTGCTTCCGTATCTCGGGATGGGTGAGAGGAGGAATATGCTTTTTGGGAGTCAGATCTGTTTAATTTTGAGCGAGTGTCTTAGTTTTGTGTCTTAGTTGTCTTTAATGTAAGTCCTAGAACTTGGAACCGTGCCTCATACCACTGGGTTACTGTGAGCATAAAGTAAGTTGATATGTACGTACGTGAAAGAACTTTGGGAGCCATGAGCTCTGTGGGATTATGTGTTAGGATGGTGATATAGCTTGTGCTTTCCTGGGGAGAGTGGGCAACCTCAGACCTCAGAAGAATAGCACCCACATGGTCCAAAGGGTATGAGACCCTGGACTGTTTGTCTAAGCTGTCTGTGGTCGAAAGTACATTCTGGACTGAAGAGATGATGATGTAACTGGGCTCTGTGTGTATTGAAAAATCCCTCTTTGCTCTTTCCTCATTTCAGGTTTGTCCTTTGAGTCAAGTCAAATATTTATTGAGCATTTCTGAGTACAAAAGTAGTGTATTAGAGAGTTGTGAGGGATTTTAGAAGTAAAGCCCTTGCCCTTATAGAACGTGCGGTCTCGTTGAAGAGCAAGAACAAAATGTGTGTATGTGAAGAGAGATGTATGGTAAGTTCAAGTGGAGCCCACACTTGGTGCCGGCTGGAGGGTTTTCAGAAGAGGGATTGGGACCTCAGGGCTGGGAGAGTGGGGCAGAACAGCTCATGTTGAGGAATTTGGACAATTTGGATGGGTGGAAGGAGTTAATGGTGCAGAGCTGAGGATGGACACACTGAGCAGGCTGGAGGCTCTAACAAGATCTGGGAGGATCAGTAGCCACCAGGAGACTATCACCAGCATGAGGAAATGCTTTTAGTTTAATGGTCTTTTAGAACAATGTTCAGGATGGTTCAAAAAGGGAGCTAGATGCCAGATCAGGTCTTGTATCATCTCTGAGCATTTTGTTTCTGCAGCTCAAATGAAAATTAAATATGTTATTGACAGTACTTGAACAGTTGGGCTGGAATGGGTAGATCACACACCTTGTTTTACCTGTTGGACTTGTCACGTAGGGTTTGTATCAGGGTAGTGGGAAGGTCACATGTTATTTCTCAATTTTTTAGTTCCAAATATATAGCCATCTCTTGGCCATATATTATACATTGAAGTGCTTAATACATACTTATCTTTTCTTTGACGTGTGGTCGGGGAAAGCCAGCTTCTGTTATAAAGTCTAGTTTTAGGCAGTAATTTCCATTTCCTCAAGCACTAGCCTCTTCACTTGAATTACTAATATCTTCCTCCTTTCTTTTCTAGGGTGCCCTGTTGTAGGAGTGCTAATTATTAATATTTTGACCATAAGGTAGCAGGTGTGAGGAGGCTGTGTCATCCATAAGTAGAGTAATTAATTCTTAAATAATAGAAAATAGACTCTGTACATTAGGAGAACCTTTTTATGTATTTATAAATAGGAGCAACCATGTTCTTTCACTGAACTTTTTCTGCTTCTCCCGTCAGCATACCAGGAAGCGGACTGGGATCGTCCAGGTCCTATGTGGTGTCTTTTCTGGCCTTAGGTTCTTAAGAGAGAGATTCACTGGCTACAGCAGTGGGAGTGGGAAGAGAATAGAAAGTGTTCTTAAGTGTTGTACTTCAAAGGGAGCCTGGATCATGACCTGCAGAGAGACAGGAGTCTTTACGCCTTGCAAAATTGACTGGAACCATTTCTAAGGAAGCCGTGTGGGTAGGAAGTCAGGCGTGGGGTTGAGGAACTCCAGCTTTATGCTTTCCACTCTCTATATTGTTTGGATGTTTTTGCCATGACCTTTTATAATAATAATGAAAAAAATTTAATTATGGCACTAATTTAGTAAATACAGTTGGAAAACAACAGATTTGGAAGTCCCAGTTTGTTACTGTAGTTCCGCAGATACTTGCCAGCTTTATAACTGATTTTTCTCTGTCCTGGAGTCCAAGCAGAATGACATCCTTAACTCGAGGCTGCAGGTACTCCGTACGTGTCTCACCTCAGATGGCAAACCGGATTGTGGATTCTGCAAGGAGCATCCTCAACAAGTTCATACCTGATATCTATATTTACACAGACCACATGAAAGGAGTCAACTCTGGGAAGTAAGTATCTGTGTTTTTGAAGTCTTGTTTCTGCAGCTTTTTCACATGCCTGTTCTAGTTCAAGTGAAAATTGCCAGCTCTGAGGTTGCACAGCCAGAGGAAGAACAGTTTCAGAATTAATTTCCTTCTGACTTCTTGCTGTTGTCACCAACAGGCATTTCTTGAGTGCCTTTCACATGGAAAGCATCCCAGTGACTAGTGCTGGAAGCTAAGGGCCTGGCTCCTAGCCTTGGGGAATTAAAACCTGTCTATTAATATACAACACTTTAAGCTTTAAATTCCATCTGCACTCTGTTCCAACAAAAAATTAAACTGAACAAATTCTTCCACTCTGAGTAAATAAAAATATAGGGTTAAAATCTTTTGTTATCTAAGTGTAAGTCAGCGTCTCTGTTCATCAGTGGAAACAACATATTTACATCCAGAGAAATTTGTTATTGCAGATTTAAATTTGGTTTAGTGAAAGCCTTTCCTTTACCAAAAAATAAAAATTTTAAAAATTAGAAAATAATTCTAAATAAGGAAAATAAGTTCTTAAACAATAATGTTCTATGTAATGAAGATGCCTGTTTTAGGCTTTGCTTGTGTATTTAGCAACTAGGAAGTTAGAGAAGCAAATTAAAGCCAGTTTCTTGAATTAGGAAAATGTTAAGCCTATAGAAAAGATCAAAGAATAGTACAGTGAGCACTGAGATAGATTTTTGCTGCCCGTAGTTGACAGTGAATATTTTGCCAAATTTGCTTTACTTGCTTGTGGGTTTTGTTTGTTTTTGTGTTTTACTGAGTCATTTCAGTGTAAATGATAGCATCATTTCACTTCACATCTGAGGTTTACAGGTTGTGTCTCCTAAAAATGAGAATATTAGAGTCTGGGGTTAACTGTTGTAGGTTAAGAAGTCAGCTTCTTAAGGGATACCGTAGGTGATCCTTTTCCAATTAAACTGTGTATAATTTTATACATAGTTTTACTAAAACAAGTATTTTGGGTAGTCTCCTTTTCCACAGCTGTTTCACCTGTGGTTTATTCTAATGCCAGCAAAAAGAGGAAAAGAGAGTAAAGGAGGGGGTGTGTGTTTTATACAGTCTTTGACCTTTATAAGGCCCAATGGAAAGATGAAGGTGGTTTTAGAAATACAATAGAGACTCATAGTCCAAAGCAACAAAACTGGTGGTGTCAGATGCTGGGGTTGGGAAAGGATTTGTGGGCAAAGCTAGCCCTTCTGGCTTGGAAAAGTCAATGATGCTCCTAAACCTTTGGTTTATATTCTAGTAACAACAGTATTTTCCTCATTCACACATAGAGGGTGATGATGCCTACGTGTGGGGTTATTGTAAAGATCACAAATAGAAGCCATTAATAACCTGCTTGGCACAGTAGGTCCTACAGAAATGGTAGCTCCTGATGCTTTTCTTTCCTTTACCTTTCCTCTTGGCCACAGGTCTGGAATTATGTGTCAGCTATTTTCTGGAGAAAGGGGATTGCTGAGGGATGGGGGAGGATAGATAGCAGCAGAAGCTGTCTGAATGGCTTCATCTTGATACTCCCTTCTCTACGTGGCCTCTCACTTTATCAGAAAGTGTCTGGGAAAGAAGCAGGCCTGATGGCCTTGCTGCCACCAGCTTATAGTGTGGCTTTTTGTAATACCACTGACTCAGCTGACCCTAGAGTGTGGTCAAGTCCATTCTTGCTAATGGTGAGTAGAACCCTTACACATAGATCAAGACGTGGACATGATGTAGACTGTGGACCATCAATTCCAAACTCCATTTTAGAAACTACATGTAAAACCAATGTGGTATTTAAGTTTGTGTTTGGTTTTTTAAATCTCCAGTTACAGATGACTAATAGTGCTCTTCCTTCTCTATTATTAAAACTATAAAGTCATGGATGGATATTTCTCTCTTCTGATTCAGTGAAGTATCCAGTAAGTCAGGCTTGTTCAGATGTAAGGGTTAGAGTTTATGTTGTGGCCATGGCCTGGAACCTTAGGAGACAGCAGTTCTCGGTGGCCTGTGTCACCACTTTGACCAGCATGCACATCAGTCCAGTGTGGTCCCATTTTAACTATCACAGTAATTAATTTTTTTCTTAATTGGATCCTTTACCAAGGAAAGCTGTGGAGGCTGGGCTTTGCAAACTATACCAATGCAGATCTCTAATGAGCTCACCTAATGACCAGCAGCTTGGTCAGCCTAACTTGAAATAGGCCTGATAACATGTATTTCCCACAAGTTGGGAAGAGAAATTAGAGTAATTTATGTAGAACCTAATATGTGTCCTTCATCTTTTCTATTGGGTTAAATAGAATAACATTTATAATTATGTAAAGATTATTGTAATGACAAATACACCTCAGAAAACTCACACAGATGGAAGATCTTGGGCAATGCAGGTAAATGGGGTAAAGCAGCAGTGGCAGCTTGTCTTCTTGCTTTCTCTTCCCTTCATCTTCTGTTCTTCACTTTTGCATGCCACTGCCTGCAGCCACTGCTGGACACCTTCTCGCTCCTGCTGGTCAAGTAACTCAAAGGCAACTTTGGATTATGCTAAACATTTCTAGGTGTCTCATGATGATAGGTGGGTGGCACAGTGTTAGATTGTTAAGCATAACTCAGAGTGCACCCAGAACCTTTGATGAAATGGGTAACTCAGTGCACCCCCTTCCCTTGGCAGGTGTTGTTAACCCTTGAGTGCATAGGCAAGCAATTTTTTTTTCCTTAAGAAGCTAAGGACTGTCTAGTATAGTTCTTCCATATAGTGAACTCATACAATGCATTTGAAACATCATTAATTTTATACATAGTTTTACTGAAACAAGTGTTTTGGCTAGTCTCCTGCCAGACATATAGAAAGTATTGCATGAACACGTGTTGAGTTGTGTTAAAGGGGGCAGGTCTGTGTTGTGGTTGCATGTGGATTGTACTACTGGGAAGGCTGCCGCACCTTTCCTGATGATGTGTCTACTTAACAGGCATTGGGAAAGTAGAATTGAGCTGTCAGGTCTTAAAATTTTGTGGAGAGGTGCTTGTTTTTGGACTGATTTTCTTTTCTGGTCAACTAGTAAACTAGTAGTAACTGTATGAGGTTAATGCAGCCAGAAAGAAGCCTTCGAACACAGTGCCATCAAAAAAAATGTTTGTCTTCTCTGTTTGCCGGTGAGTAGAAACCTCACTTGGTTAACCCTACTCAGTGTTTATGTCTTTATATCTCCAGGTCTCCAGGCTTTGGGTTGTCACTGGTTGCTGAGACCACCAGTGGCACCTTCCTCAGTGCTGAACTGGCCTCCAACCCCCAGGGCCAGGGAGCAGCAGTACTTCCAGAGGACCTTGGCAGGAACTGTGCCCGGCTGCTGCTGGAGGAGATCTACAGGGTATGTCTACAGCCTCCTCCAATAGAGGAGTGACCAGGAAGCAGTTTGTTGTCTCTTATTTCTCACCCCTTGGCAGCCTTCCTTCTCTTCCAAGGGCTTAAGCCAAGGAGGTAACCTGTTCCTACGCAGTAAGCAGTTCAGCATTAACTAGTTTAATGGATTAGTTGAACTAGTCAGTGAGTAGAGATCTAGCCCCACTGGGTTGAGACATAGGGCAGGTAAGTTTTGACAGTGAGCCAGGGAAAGAACTGGAACAGTCATAAAGGAAAGAGAAGGTTAAAAAAATGAAGTAGGTAAGATAAGGTGGTGGCTGACACACTGCCCTGACCAAAGAGAGTACCGTCCTGGCACCCCCTGACTGCTGCCATGTGGGAATATGGGCTCATTGTTTTTAGGTCTTTCAAGGGAATCTGGAGATCTGGATTTGTATGTGACACCTGATTCACATATAAAACAATGGCAACAGGCTAGGTTTTGCAATGCATTCTAGAGTATAGAATCTCAGTTAACAGGGTAGAGTATCAAAAAAGAAAAAGAAGAAGAAAATTTTTTAAAAAAGCATAAAATAACTAGAGAAGGCAGGCATGTGGCACAACATGGCAGAAGCTTTGAAAAACCTGAAGACATGGAACAGAGAAAGAGTGAACGGATGGTGAAGACAGACTCAACTGGTTTTCATTTTGCTTCTGCAGCTCTGCTGGTGGGACACAGCTCAGACCAACCTGCCCTCTCAGTTGCCACAGTCTTTCTGTGTTGATCCATTCATGTGACAGGTACATATACATGCACATACTTTTACTGTTTCCTCAAAATAGGTGAGGTGACCTCTAAAGTAAGGGAGAAATTAGGAGGAAAGATGATGGCATAAAGAATAAGATACAGTTGCCTAAAAAATATATTCACTGAGATCTCTTATACTTGGTTAGAAGAAGGTCACAAATCTGTCCAAGATTTCCATTAGTCTGCACTGTCTTTTGCCTTGGTCCTACATCAGGAAGGTGAAACCTTTTCTCTCACATGCAGAGTCTAGGAAAGGCCCTGAGGAGTGGTCATTTCTCTGCCCTTTCTGTTCGTTCCCAGATTCTTGAACTGAGCATCAGCAAGAACTATACTCTAGGTGATTTGCTGTCGTATGGTGTATAAAGCTTGTAAAATGTCTCTCTTCTTCCCCTAAGGAGCTAAAGAGACTTCTGTCTTTGTATTGCTCTGTGTATTTCTTCTCAGCTCTTAGGCATCTCTCTGGTCTCCAAGGAAGCTTTCCTGTTTAATAAGGTAGCAAAAATCACATCTAAGCCAAGTGAAATAAAATCAGTAAAACAGAAAAAGTGGCAATTTAGTTTTTCTTCTGATTTTTCCTTTTGCCACTGGTTCAGTTTATTAATCAGGGTGGTAGGTTGAAGCCTGAATATCCATGGGTACCAATCCTCAGACCAGCCTCACAGTGGAAAACAGCTAATACTTACAGTATACTCCCCTGATTTAAGTCACTGTTCTTGAAAGTCTCATTGGTCCAATGTGGAACACATGAGAATGAGCTATTTCAGAATTAATTAAAATTTCCAGGTCCTAAATGGCTCTGTTTAATGACCATCTAATTAAAAATGGAAGACAGTGGACCTCTAGTTGTATTTTCAGGAAAGTGGCTTCAGCCCCTCTACTCGGCATTCACCTGGGAAATAGTAGAAGGAGGAGATGAAATCTTCCTGAAGGAGAAGGTATTCTTTGACAAGTCTTGTGCAGTCAAGGTCTGGCCTCAGATTTTTTGGTGCTAAATCAGTTTAATTTTTTATGCTAAATTTAATAATTTTGTGAAAATGGGTAGTAAGTAAAAGTTTGGGGTAGATGATCAAGAGGTTGCCCTGCCAGTTACTTAATTCGTGGGGTTTGTGGTCTACTTATTTGCAGGGGGGCGGAAAACAGTGCATGTGATGTGTGTCCCTGGGCCCCTTGTTGTGCAGGATTCCTTTTCTTGGCTGGCAATGGCTGGTCCTGTAGTGGCCCTCTAACTGTGGGGACACTTCCATCCCTTTCCAATAGACCTTGGGAAAATTGGATGCATCATATTATACAGCAGTCCAGTAGGAACCTATGGGCATAGCTAGAGTGTGGGGCTTATATCCCTATAAATAGCAGGTTATAAGCTTCAGTGAAAGTACAGCCTAACCAGTCCACAAGAGGAAAAGCATGCAGTTTAAATTAGATTCTTTAATTTTTTCTTTTTTCCTTTCTTTCTTTCTTTCTTTCTTTCTTTCTTTCTTTCTTTCTTTCTTTCTTCTTTCTTTCTTTCTTTCTTTCTTTCCTTCTTTTTCTTTCTTTCTTTCCTTCTCTTTCCTTCTTTCTTTCCTTCTTTCCTTCTTTCCTTCTTTCTTTCTTTCTTTCTTTCTTTCTTTCTTTCTTTCTTTCTTTCTTTCTTTCTTTCTTTTCTTTTCTTTTCTTTTCTTTCTTTCTTTCTTTCTTCTTTTCTTCTTTCTTTTTCTTTCTTTTTTTTGAGGCAAAGTCTTGCTCTGTTGCCCAGGCTAGAGTGTAGTGACACGATCTTGGCTCACTGCAACCTCCACCTCCCGTGTAAAAAGCAAATCTCTTGCCTCAGCCTGCTGAGTAGCTGAGATTACAGGCATGCGCCACCATGCCGGGGTAATTTTTGTACTTTTAGTAGAGAGGGGTTTTGCCATCTTGGCCAGGCTGGTCTTGAACTCCTGACCTCAAGTGATCCACCTGCCTCTGCCTCCCAAAGTGCCGAGATTATAGGCGTGAGCCACCGTGCCTGGCAACTTTTGTTTTCTTTAGTTGCCTACTTTCAGTCTTCCATTGTGCCTGGACCAGTTTGTTTCATTTTCTTTTAGTCAATCAGAGAACTTCCTTTGTGTGTGTATGATCTTTAGTTATTAAAAGGATGGAAATACTTCATATTTTTCTGAATACTTTTCTGTAGAGTTGTGATGTGACATGAGTAGTAAAAAGATCCATCCCTTTTGAAGATGCTGTTTATCAAGTTTTTTTTTTTTTTTTGAGACGGAGTTTCGCTCGTTACCCAGGCTGGAGTGCAATGGTGCGATCTCGGCTCACCGCAACCTCCGCCTCCTGGGTTCAGGCAATTCTCCTGCCTCAGCCTCCTGAGTAGCTGGGATTACAGGCATGTGCCACCATGCCCAGCTAATTTTTTGTATTTTTAGTAGAGACGGGGTTTCACCATGTTGACCAGGATGGTCTCGATCCCTTGACCTTGCGATCCACCCGCCTCGGCCTCCCAAAGTGCTGGGATTACAGGCTTCAGCCACCGCGCCCGGCCTGTTTATCAAGTTTTAAGACTCTGATCTAATCCCTCCTGTTCCATTTGTGTCTCATTGGTTACCAAGCCTTCTTGATTCTGTCCCAGGCTTTCTGGAACTGTCTTTTCTTTCCATGCTTTTCACTGTCCATCTACTGCCTGCCTCCCTGCTCCACCCTACAACTGGATTATGGCTACTGGCTCTCTGCACTTCCAGCGGAGATGTTCTTTCCAAATCCTAGCATCCTTTTCAGTCTAAATCTTCCCCTAAAATACTGACCTGATCTCTTCACTCCTGTGCACAGAGACCTTCACTGGCTTCTCACTTTACTGGGACAAAATTGAAATTCTCAACCCATTTCAGAAAGCCCCGCCTTAGTTGAGCTACCCAACTTCTCTCTGCTGTATATGCTTCTCCACAGGCAGTAGAAGTGCCTTTCAGGCTGGCCACCCGGCAGTTCCTCACTGGCCTTGGTATTTTATTTTTCCCTATCATTACATTTTTCTTTTCTCTCCAAATGCTGCTCGTTCCTCCAGGACTGGCTTAACTAGTCCTGACTGCCAAAGCCTTTCTCTGGTATCTGGCGCAGGTGACACTTCCCCACCCACCCTGGCAGTCTGATACCCCCTTCTACTTCCTCCACGATGTCTTGTACAGGGACCTTAGCATATCTATTGCATTAAAATATTGGTCCAGTCTGTAATGGTGAAATAACAACAGTGATAGGAAGCAGAGACTGAAAATAGCACTTTAATTTTAGGCGGTCTTATGAAAGGGAGCAAGATCTGTAAAACAGTTTTGTTGGTCCTCATATTTTCCATGGGTCAGGTTTTTCTTTTTGGGTAGAAAAGGAACTCTCCTTGTCCTAAAATTTGCTATGTGATATAATATATTGCCGGGCGCGGTGGCTCACGCCTGTAATCCCAGCACTTTGGGAGGCCGAGGCGGGTGGATCACGAGGTCAAGAGATCAAGACCATCCTGGTCAACATGGTGAAACCCC